TTTACTTGAGTCTGACTTAGATACTACACAGACTTACTTGAGTCCGACTTAGATACTATACAGACTTATTTGAGTCTGACTTAGATACTATACAGTGTCTACACAGACTTACTTGAGTCTGACTTAGATACTATACAGTGTCTACACAAACTTACTTAGATACTATACAGTGTCTACACAGACTTACTTAAGTCTGACTTAAATACTATACAGACTTACTTGAGTCTGACTTAGATACTACACTCTTATTTGAGTCTGACTTAGATACTATACAGTGTCTACCCAAACTTACTTAGATACTATACAGTGTCTACACAGACTTACTTGGGTCTGACTTAGATACTATACAGTGTCTACACAGACTTACTTAGATACTATACAGTGTCTACACAGACTTACTTAAGTCTGACTTAAATACTATACAGACTTACTTGAGTCTGACTTAGATACTACACAGACTTATTTGAGTCTGACTTAGATACTATACAGTGTCTACACAAACTTACTTAGATACTATACAGTGTCTACACAGACTTACTTGAGTCTGACTTAGATACTACACAGACTTACTTGAGTCTGATTTAGATACTACACAGACTTACTTGAGTCTGACTTAGATACTACACAGACTTATTTGAGTCTGACTTAGATACTATACAGTGTCTACACAGACTTACTTGAGTCTGACTTAGATACTATACAGTGTCTACACAGACTTACTTGAGTCTGACTTAGATACTATACAGTGTCTACACAGACTTACTTGAGTCTGATTTAGATACTATACAGTGTCTACACAGACTAACTTGGGTCTGACTTAGATACTATTCAGTGTCTACACAGACTTACTTGGGTCTGACTTAGATACTATTCAGTGTCTACACAGACTTACTTGAGTCTGACTTAGATACTATACAGTGTCTACACAGACTTACTTGGGTATGAAGTGCTTTGAGAGACAGTGTTTCACGAAGTCGGGACATTGGTTGATGGTGTAGTTGAGACACTCGCCGTGGAGTATTAGGTACTTCATGGACACCAGCAGGGAGTACAAGGCATCTGTGTCCGTTAGCTTACACAGCTCCTGTGGAATGGAAAGACACACTTACAGAAGACTGTTTAGTTTAAGATAAATTCCTTAAGTTTTATCTGAATGGCTGAATTTTACAATTCCTTAAAACAAACAATGCCTGTGTGTTGTTTTTTCACTCTGACACCAATCCTAAAACTTATTTTTAACCTATATCTGTTCAAAATCAGTCAAAGACAACACTCTTGCCTGGTTTTAGGAGTAAATGTTATTTCTACCTTCAAATAGAGATGACACATCAGCATGGTTGACATGTTAATGTACCCCCTACCTGTAGAAACTGGTGAAACAACTGTAGCTCCTACCTGTAGAAACTGGTGAAACAACTGTTGCTCCTACCTGTAGAAACTGGTGAAACAACTGTAGCTCATACCTGTAGAAATTGGTGAAACAACTGTAGCTCCTACCGGTAGAAACTGGTGAAACAACTGTAGCCCCTACCTGTAGAAACTGGTGAAATAACTGTAGCTCCTGCCTGTAGAAACTGGTGAAACAACTGAAGCTCCTACCTGTAGAAACTGGTGAAACAACTGTAGCCCCTACATGTAGAAACTGGTGAAACAACTGTAGCTTCTACCTGTAGAAACTGGTAGAAACGACTGTCGATCCTACCTGTAGAAACTGGTGAAACAACTGTAGCTCCTACCTGTAGAAACTGGTGAAACAACTGTAGCTTCTGCCTGTAGAAACTGGTGAAACAACTGTAGCTCCTACCTGCAGAAACTGGTGAAACAACTGTAGCTCCTGCCTGTAGAAACTGGTGAAACAACTGTAGCTCCTACCAGTAGAAACTATTGAAACCACTGTAGCTTCTACCTGTAGTAACTGGTGAAACAACTGTAGCCCCTACCTGTAGAAACTGGTGAAACAACTGTAGCTCCTACCTCTAGAAACTGGTGAAACAACTGTAGCTCCTACCTGAAGAAACTGGTGAAACCACTGTAGCTTCTACCTGTAGAAACTGGTGAAACAACTGTAGCCCCTACCTGTAGAAACTGGTGAAACAGTTGTAGGTGGATAGGCATGCTGGAGACATCAAACTGGGGAACCTCCTCCTCCTTCTCTTCCTCCTCCTCTGGACTGTCCTCTCCGTTAGAGGAGGAACCTGCAGCAAAAGGATAGTTATTCACATGTCAACCAATCAGAGTGGCAATAGGATATATTACACTAGTGTTGTATCACTCCTCAACATCACTTATGATACAGGATATATTACACTAGTGTTGTATCACTCCTCAACATCACTTATGATACAATATTACATGTTCACTACATAAAATGTAAGTTATAAAAGACCTCAATCTTGTTACGATAATAGAAACATGATATAAAACATAGGAAAACAAGAAATTGGTGAAATAAATAACAGTATCCCATTAGGATACTTTCTTGGAAAAAAGGTCTGTAGTTTTAGAAAGACTCCTGTATAGAACACTCACCAGAAACAGACCAGTATAGGCCAGTATTTAGTGTAACCTTGTAAGATTGTCCAGTGAACTCGTCTGAGATCAAATATATTGTTTTCACATCCATAAACAAAGCTTAGTAAAAATTCCTTCATAAAGCACCTTCATGTTTTGAATTCATGTTCGTGACGAGAGCAGTACTGAAGCTTTGAGATACAGGAACCGCTGTTCAATGTATCCAGGAATGGTACTAGGTTACTCTTGTACTCAGTATCTAAATGAAGGAGTAGACTTACTGTTATGATGTGATCTATTTTATTGTGTCAGAGACTGGTATCATTGAAGTTTTCCCACAGAGAATTGACTTAAAATCTTCCTGTACTGTACTTAGTGTCTAAATCAAGGATAAACTCACAGATGTGATCCATTGTATTGTATATTATAAGACTGGTATTATTGAAATTTTCCCATACTGTACCTACCTTGGTAGTACATTGTAATAAGACAAAGGAATAAACTGATGTGATCCCTTTCATAGTGTCAGAGAATGGTGCTAAAATCTTCCTGTACTGTACTTAGTATCTAGATGAATAGGTAAACTCTAGTGTTGGAGCCCTTGTAGCTAGGTCTACACCCAGTTCAAGCTCTGTATCTCTGTACTTACTTTTCCTATCATTGGGCGATGAAACTGGTGGCGTAGGGTTGTTTTTGACGGAGGAGAATTTCATCTCCTCAATCTTGGGTACATCCTTGGGTGGGATTTTAGCCGTATCACGTGGACAGTAGCAGCACATGACTTTGGAGGTGAGTTGGTGCCAAAGGGCCACATTCTGACAGAATGTACAGCTGGATGCCTGCAGCTCCTGGCTACATGTGTGGCTCCCATCCCACGTCACACACAGCATCGACGTCAGTAGCGACATGATCTGACGACTCGTCTCATTGTAGATACCAAGGTACTTAGGAAACTCTTGTAGCTCAAGCTGTTAGAGTAAAAGAATCAACTACATTTGCACACAGTTATAAGAACACACAGTTTTATGCACACAGTTTCAGACATGAAAACACTATATTTACAGGATTGAAAACACAAACACATAATATCTTATTTCAGAATTTAAGATGCATTGTCATATGTTCCCTGTTTAGGATTCACCCAAGATTTTTAAAAACATGGCAGCAGTTGCTACAGCAAACTGCACAGGAAGTCTTTTTTAGGGGGTCCGGGGTACACAACTCCGAAAAATAGACATCAGACACACAATTAACAAGTTTTAACTAAAGACATCATATTTACCTGTTTGAGGCACATGTCCAGCATCATACAAAAACACGGAAGAACAAGTTCTGTCTCACGGTCGTATATCTCGTACGCCTCTACAACTAAATGAGACTTCTCGGGGCTGAGAGGTGGCGGGCACTCCTCTATTGGGGTGCTAGGGGAAAATATCTGCTGGTGGTTACCACCTGTGGCACCGGCCTTTTTAGTTTCTCCCTGTGTGATGATAGTACACAGGTTCTCCACACCACTCTGGAACATGTTCAGCAGCATGTTGATCGGGATGATCACATCAAGTGTCGACAAAATCTGGGGGAAAGAACGAACAATTAAGTGTAAGGATGTGATATAATTTCAGAAGTACATCTGTATGAAATAAAAGATATGATAATGATATTAGCAACATATCATTATCATAATCATAAGATTTAACATGTTTCACTTTCCATTCTCAATGTAAAGGCAATATCTGGTTAGTGGAGGAGTTTATATAAATAATATGCCTGTGGGTATTTCTATTGTTGAAGCAAACTTTCACCTGAAGCCACTGAAATACCTATTCCTCTACATATAAATAATATGCCTGTGTGTATTTCTATTGTTGAATCAATCTTTCACCTGAAGCTACTGAAATACCTATTCATCTACATATAAATAATATGCCGGTGTGTTTTTCTATTGTTGAAGCAATCTTTCACCTGAAGCCAATGAAATACCTATTCCTCTACATATAAATAATATGCAGGTGTGTATTTCTATTGTTGAAGCAATCTTTCACCTGAAGCCAATGAAATACCTATTCCTCTACATATAAATAATATGCTGGTGTGGATTTCTATTGTTGAAGCAATCTTTCAACTGAAGCTACTGAAATACCTATTCCTCTACATATAAATAATATGCCGGTGTGTTTTTCTATTGTTGAAGCAATCTTTCACCTGAAGCCAATGAAATACCTATTCCTCTACATATAAATAATATGCCTGTGTGTATTTCTATTGTTGAATCAATCTTTCACCTGAAGCTACTGAAATACCTATTCCTCTACATATAAATAATATGCTGGTGTGGATTTCTATTGTTGAAGCAATCTTTCAACTGAAGCTACTGAAATACCTATTCCTCTACATATAAATAATATGCCGGTGTGGATTTCTATTGTTGAAGCAATCTTTCACCTGAAGCTACTGAAATACCTATTCATCTACATATAAATAATATGCCGGTGTGTATTTCTATAGTTGAAGCAATCTTTCACCTGATGCCACTGAAATACCTATTCCTCTACATATAAATAATATGCAGGTGTGTATTTCTATTGTTGAAGCAATCTTTCAACTGAAGCCACTGAAATACCTATTCCTCTACATATAAATAATATGCCGGTGTGTATTTCTATTGTTGAAGCAATCTTTCACCTGAAGCCACTGAAATACCTATTCCTCTACATATAAATAATATGCCGGTGTGTATTTCTATTGTTGAAGCAATCTTTCACCTGAAGCTACTGAAATACCTATTCCTCTACATATAAATAATATGCCGGTGTGTATTTCTATAGTTGAGGCAATCTTTCACCTGATGCCACTGAAATACCTATTCCTCTACATATAAATAATATGCTGGTGTGTATTTCTATTGTGGAAGCAATCTTTCACCTGAAGCCATTGAAGTGCCTGTTCCTGTACGTAGGCACTGGTGTCAGTGAAGCGATCGGAAATAAACTGCAGGATCTTCTCAGGGCTGTCCGGCGTAAAAGGCAGGGGACATAACTGGATGTCAAACGCTTTGCTGAAATAAAACAGAGAAAGGGGTTTCTGTATTAATGTTGTTATCTGTAGCCATTAAGGTTTTGAGAAGTACACAAGGTATTGTCTGTAAAACATGTATGCCCTGATGCCATGTCAGGTTAGTTCATGGAAATCCAGCTACAAATGCCAGAGCAATAGCAAGTTGTTTTTTCTTTTATATAGTCGGTGACCTTGACCTTGGGTTCAAAATGCACTACAGGCCTAAGTGGCCTGTATCACTCACCTGTCATTTGAAGGCAGTGGCAAATTTATTTTAGGCTGAAATATTTAATTAGACAAAAAGTTAGATCTGTTCAAATTTTCGTTAAAATCAACCAGGTGAAATTTGAGAGTACCAGGGTAAGTTGAAAATGTCTGAGCAAATTGAAGAAAAAATTCAGCCATGTTGTGTTCCAAATCATCTCCAAAACTAATGACACTTGTTCAATTAAGAGAGGACAATTAATTCATACCAAAGTGGTTTAGAATCGCCTGAGGCAAGTTGTGGAGAAAATGAAAATATCTCAGCTATTCAGAGGTCAAGATGGATTTTAATAACACATGATCAGAACAAAGACAAGTTTTTATAACAAGTTGGGCTTACATCAGCCTTGTTTATCTTAACAAATGTTTTGAAAGTGTCTCAATAAATCAAGGAAACATTGAAACATTCTTGGATTTTAAATCAACCTGAAAACAAAACCCCTTGTTTGGGAGGGTAATTCATACGTAGTTTGGTAAGAATTGGTCTGGTCACAAAAATGTTTGGATCAATCAGCCACCTTCTTCAGTTGTGAACCTGTAAAAATAAAACACACTTGGTCAGTTTTCAATTTTAAGGCTTCTCAGTGACAAAAACTTACCTGAGAAGAACTTTGAGTTCATGGAGATCTTCTGTGGGGACTTCTGTCCTAATGGCCTCCAGCCAGTAGGGCATCACATAATCCCAAATCTACAACACAAAGAAACAGGGGCTCATAAAATGATGGCATATGGTCTTCTAGTTTATAGAGAATCTTACCTCAAAGTTACATAAACCATAGACTACACAAAATCTGATGTCAAGTGTTTTTTCACAAATAACAATGTAGAGCTTTACCTCGAAAGTAATGATGTCATAGGGTACGAGACAGAAGAAACAGTTGAGGCCCTCCTTGATCTGTGTTGTCCTGCTCACCAGCGTGTCCCTGTAGCAAAATGGATCAATTTTGTACATACCATACAGAGACAACCATATTACAATATTAAACCCATTCTGTAGAGAAATGACTATCTGTACATATTACTTTCAAACATTTCATTCTTTTCCTTTAGGTTAAAGTAAGTAAAGTACATTTTTCTTAATGTCATGTGATCTGTCAAAAGAAAAAGGAATCAAACAAAATGTGATATTAGTGATATTAAACAAAATGTGATATTAGTGATATTAAACAAAATGTGATATTAGTGATATTAAACAAAATGTGATATTAACAGTAACTGGTGCTGAACCACTTTTATTATGGAGTTAAAGTGTATGTATAAGCATTTAACAGACTGTAGTGACTTATCTATCTATTGTTTAACAGCATTCCAAACTTTTCTGATGTGAGGGCTCCCTAGAAACTTCAGAATCTTATGTATGTAGGTACTCACCAGAACCCACCTACACGAGCATACTCCACTGGGTGGGGCAGCAGGCATGACACAATCACCTCGAAATGTGTGTGTCCTATCTCCTCCAGCCACTCATAGATATACTGTAACATGTAGTACCAGAGGTTCAATATGAGCATTGTTGTACATAACCAAAGTTTATCAATCTCTATTTCCCTTTCAGAAAGAGATAGAATCAAATTTATTATGTATATGTCAATATATATAGGCTTTTCAGAAGGAGGAAATCATCTAATGTCAAAATCAATCTCTATCAACTTTTAACAGAGAGATACAGTCAAATCTTATCATGTCCAAGTCCTGAGAAACTAGGAAAATTCCAAGATATGCAGTGTATTAGACATACATATATATTATATCCTTGTTAAAATACCGGTACATCCATGTGCATAGCGTACACTGTCATGGTACTATATATATTATATACTAAATACACAAGTCAAGATAGAAATTGTATGCGAGATATTGAAGTTTGTAATATTGAAATCTGACTGTATAACCATCGGAGTGTGAGACAAATGTAGAGGCGTGTTGACCTGGTAAAAGTCACATCTCTTACTACAAGTGGAAAGTAAATCTGACATATCACAGAAATGTTTATCATTTTAGGTGTTCCAGTACTTACACCAGGTTTCAGCTTTTCTAATGCGTTCCCAATGTTATCTACAAGAACAAATATACATATTTAATGTGACTGTAATAGGTTTACCTAAAATATTTTTTTTTTACTTTTTCATTGATAAAAGGGGGTGTCTGGAAAACAGCCCTTTATCTACTGAATCTTAAATTTTGCAAGATTAAAATATTTGCACTTGTTCACAAGAGAGTCACATGATTCAAATATCTAGCGAACATTCCTTCAGAAATATCATAAGTGATATGAATACATGTATGTTGATTTTCAGCAACAACCTTGCAATTTAGTCATTTGCTGAGCAATCGTGAAAATAATAATTCACAAAAATTGAGGGATCTTAAATAAATTTTTTTTAGCAAGAACCATTCAGTTTTTAACTTGNGTCAGGGAGATAGGCGGTAGCATCGAACCACTGGAACAGCATTCCAAGCAGGCGCCCCAGGATCTCCTGTAATAACACAAACAGCAGACATCACATTATATAATAATATCAAAGTATCATAATTATACTTACTGCAAGAAATATTCAGTTTAGAAACAGGCTTAAACTACTTAAAATAAATCAATATTTAAGCATCCATCTTGTATCCGACACTGTTAGTACAATACACTCAGCTCCACATCATTAATAACAAACTACTAAATTATAAAAGGGTGAAATTTGACACAACACAAAGCATTACACTCAGAGAAAACATTTAACATAGTCAACAGTCGTGCAGTGAAAATAGAAATACAATTTTAACTATGATAATTTATAACTTTTAACTACCATACAAATTCACTTCAAGAAATATTTATTTCAACATATTTTATTGTCAATACACACGATATATATGAATGTGACCAAGGACTCTACATACAATTGGTATGTCCTCTCGGGTGCTGCACAACTCCACCATCAGCCAGATGCCGTATCGACTGAGCAGCTTCCTTTCCCCGGCTTCCTCCATAGCAAAGAAATCATCATCGTCAGTGAAATGTGGTCGGTGTTCGTCGCCCATCTCTACCATTCTCTTAGACTCGATAGGCTGGGCTTCCTTTAGAAGACTACAATCAAAACAACATATAGTATCAATTCTCTGATAGACTACAACAAGAACGACAAACCCTAAATTCTTTATAATAAGCTGCATCTTTTCTAATTTACAGTACAATATCACAGGCTTATTTTCAAGGCAGTCTTATTCTTGACATCATTTAGACAGTAAGCCTGCCATGGCATATTTTCAAGTCCCTTTTTTTTTGCATGGAAAAATAGTGTTTTTTATTTTAAAACTGTTTTGTTGTTTGTTTTATCTTTATCACATTGTTGTTATCATATCATGTAATGTGATCGTAACATGTAAAACCTGTTTAAACTGACAGGGAAAATGTGGTTACTACCTGGAACCCAAGGTATATTTCAAGAACAGCTGACTCTAATAGATGGCTTATTATTCAGGTATGTTTGATTGTAAGGAACCCAAACTTTATTTTCAATTAAATCAGGCTTAATGAAATTTTAGGTTATTAGAGAGATATCTGTAGAACTATGACATCATGCTTACCTTACAATGGCATCCATAAGGTATCGTTGCATCTCGAGGCTGCAGTCCCAGATTTCCGGCACACTAACATGATACACATGGTTACGTCCCCGGTTGGTGTTGTGACGCGACTCATGACAGATCTGACAGTAGCGGATTGGTCGATTTCCGTTAAAGCTGGCACAGTCAATGGAGAAACAGGTACACATAGCCAGATTGTCTCGGGACTTACAGTTCTGGTAGGAATGGAAAAACGTCACATTTTGATTTTTGAATTGTTGCAAGCATTAAAGCTATCATAGTAAGTGCTTCCATTTAAATAATACAAAATTCTGATGATCATGAGCAAAATCCACCTTATTCTCACAGATGGTTGAGGTGCGAAACATCGTAAAACTTACCTTATTCTCACAGATGGTTGAAGTGTGAAACATCGTAAAACTTACCTTATTCTTACAGATGGTTGAGGGGTGAAACATCGAAAAACTTACCTTATTCTTACAGATGGTTGAGGGGTGAAACATCGTAAAACTTACCTTATTCTCACAGATGGTTGAGGCATGAGACATGGGCAGGAGTATGTCAGTCATGTATTCGCTGTGTTCTTTCCTCAGGACATCAGCACAGTCACTACAGATGTACAGGGGTGGGGGTTTGTCACCAGAGTGGATAGCCAGTGCAGGGTTCAAACACATCTATACCAAAACATGCGTAACTTACATTATAAAATCATATATATTTTTAATATATTAAGTATCTAAAAGTCAACAACAGACTGTAAGTGAAAACAAAACAAAGGCTCAAAATGTTCATCAAGTTTTACTTCAGGAATGCATCATACCAAACAGGTTCATACCAAATTTATTTAAAATCTGTTTAGCTGTTCTTGAAACAAAGTCTTTTAATGAAAAACTTGAAAACAATTGAAGAACATCACACAAAAAGATATGCTAAATCAAACTGGCCTTAATTCAGATGAGTGGGGGATTTATTAGATGATGTAAGTACATACTTAATCCTTTTTCTGTGACAGATGTGTGTTGTATTCCTTACCTTTACAGCCTGACAGTTTCCTGAGTTAACACATCCTCGTCTCTGGCAAAGGACAGGGGGCCAGGCTATAATACAGAACATGACATAGGACAGGGGGCCAGGCTATAATACAGAACATGACATAGGACAGGGGGCCAGGCTATAATACATAACATTACATACGACAGGGGGGTCAGACTATAATACAGAACATGACATAGGACAGGGGGCCAGACTATAATACAGAACATGACATAGGACAGGGGGCCAGAATATTATACATAACATGACATAGGACAGGGGGCCAGGCTATAATGCAGAACATGACATAGGACAGGGGGCCAGACTATAATACATAACATGAGAAAGGACAGGGGGCCAGGCTATAATGCAGAACATGACATAGGACAGGGGACCAGGCTATAATACAGAGCATGACATAGGACAGGGGGCCAGGCTATAATACAGAACATGACATAGGACAGGGGGCCAGGCTATAATACAGACCATGACATAG